CATAAAGAAAATGTTCTACATCCCACTTTGGTGAGCAGCGTCTGGAGCCTTAAAAGCTTGCAAGTGGCCATCTAAGATACATCTATTTGTGCCGTCATGTTTGGAGCAAAGGAGAATGAAGAGAACCAAGGACATAAGGCAAATATTAGCCCAAAGGACTAAAGGACCACATGAACCACAGTCTCCACTAGCCTGAACCCAGAAGAACTAGGTGGTGACCGGCTATCATCACTGACTGCTTTGGTAGGGATCACAACAGAGAGTCTCTAATCAGGCAGGAGAAAAATATAGAACAAAACTCAAATTCACAAAAAAGACCAGACTTACTGGTCTGACAGAGACTGGAGGAGCACCTGAGACTATGACCCCCAGATACCCTGCTAACTCAGAACTGAAGCTACTCCGAAAGCCCACTTTTTAGACAAAGATTACACAGATCTGGAAAACAAACAATAACACATGTAAGGAACATGCGTCTTAGTTCAATCAAACATATGAGACCAAACGACAACTCCTGCCCAAATGCAAGACAAGAAGGCAGAAATGGACAGGAAAACTGGACGAATGGACACAGGGATCCCAGGGTAGAGTGAGGGAGAGTGCTGTCACATTCAAGGATGTAACTGATGTCGCAAAACAATACGTGTATAAATTTTTGAATAAGAAACTAGCTTGAGCTGTAAACTTTCACCTAAAGCACAATAAAATTAAAAACAAAAAAAAGAGCCTGAGGGAAGAATTGGCGATAGGGACAGAGAAAATCAAGCAAATAAAAAACAATGCTTTGGGTTTAAAAAAAAAGCCAGACACGAAAGAGTGATGCCATTGGTGTGAAGCTCAAGAACAGGCAAACTAACCTGTGTGAGAGGCCAGGGCACAACATCGAAACAAGAAATAAAAGAACTGAGAAACATACGTTTGAGCTATTCATCACAATTAAATTTCTGGCCTTTTCTCTTGTACTTCCAGCTTTTGGCTTTTATATTTTTATGCTCACCTACTGCGCTTGGTACACGATGCTTTCAGGACAGACATCTTCCTTGTGCCAAATTATTAAAGTTCAAAAACTCTTTGGGCCTTGAATGTGACTCTGCCTGGCATTCACACTATTTCTCTTGGCTGTATTTGCTCATTCTTTCCTACCAGTCTCGGAGCTGCTTGGGTTTTGTGTAGACAGATATGTCAGGGCCCAGAAGGCTGGGTCTTGTTTCTGACCCCATCTAGAAGACACATCTTTAATACACAAGTTTATCCTTTCTGTTTTTTGTTAAAATGTAAATGTTTGGTCTTAGTTTTTTACTTCTCTCAGCATATTGTATATTTTCTTTAAGTGCTTTCTTGACATTCCTTTTGTTTGCTTTATTTTTAATAACATTAAATGATAAGCTAGGTCACGGACTCCTTATGCTGCACCCAAGAAAACCGATGGTACTTAGGCCTGCAATGGACCCTGAATGAATTTCCCAAAGATGGGAAACGCAGAGACCACGTGCTCTGCTCATGACAAACAGAACTAGAAATAGATAACAGAAGTTAACATTAAAAAGCCCAGCCACACAAATATTTTAAAGTAAGTCAAAAAGGTCTTTAAACATTCAATTGCAGAAATTTTAGAACATAATTTAAAAAAGTGAAAATGCCAAACGCGAAAATCTTAGAAAGAGCAAGAAAACTATCTGGAGAATAATAAATATATCCAAAAGCTGGTTCTTTAAATAAATCCACAAGCCTTCAGCTCATTAATTAACAAGAGGGGTGGGGTAAAGAGAGAGCACAAGCATGTACATGAAAAATAAGGAGAGAGAAATAATCACACAGAAAATCAAATGAATTAAAAGAGGACATTTTGTGAAAATTTAATAAATAGGAAATTTTTAGAGAAGTATAAACTATTTAAACTGGGTCAAGAAGACACTCAAAAACTTAAAAGAGCCAACAGTCATGGAAGAAATTCAGGCAGTTTCATAGAAATGATTTAAATAGCATAAGAGTCATAGATTTCACATCTTCCTGCACATAAAGAAAGAAGAAAAGCCATTTTGTAAAATATAAATCTAGTATAATACTAACACCAAGACCTGACAAAGATGTAAGAGAAAGAAAACTACAGCCTCATGTCATTTATAAATCGTCACGCGAAGTTATAAATAAACTATCTGCAAACAGAATATGGAAGATTTGTTAAAAGAATATTAACATAGTAACTAAGTGAGATTCTTTGCAAGAATGTGAGGAAATTTACTGATGTAATTCATCAATGGTTAACAGAAAAAAAGCATATGGTCATCTAGTTATACACTAAAAGAGTATTTAATAAAAATTAAAGTACATTTATTTCTGAAAAAAAGGCAAAAAGTGTAAATGTGTACTTCCTTAGCACAATCACACACACAGATATGTAGTGCACTCACACCATGCAGACTTCAAAATAGTGGCAACCATCACACTAACGAGGCAACCTAGAGCCTCTCCACTGAACCCTAAGACAAAGATATCTACAGTTTCCTATTCAGTGTAGCATTGTCAAGGAAACACTAGCCATTACAATTAGTCAAGATAATGCAATATGAATGGTGTAAGCTTTGGTAAGAATAAGACAAAATAATAATTTGGAAACCCAAGAGAAATAATTTGTAATATTAATGAGTTCAGCAAGGTGATCAGTTACAAAACCCCAATACAAAAATCAGTAGCTTTCCTACATGTAAACAATAACTTGTTAGAAAATTTAATGAAGAAAAGGTCATGTTGGCATTAGCAAAATTCACACGAAGTCTTAGAACACTGACAAAAAACACACAGAACTTTTGCAAAAGAGACCATAGAATTCCACCACTGGACCTAAAAGTTGGGCTTCAACATAGGGAGAGACAGAATTCATTGTTAGGTAGATTCAATATTATATATGACAATTATGCTCACATTAATCAGTAGGATTAATACAATATCAATCGAAACCCCTAAATAATTTTTAATTAAAAAAAAAGATCCTAAGTACAACAGATAATTCTTGAAAAGAAGCATAATAGGGGGGAACTTGCCCTACAAGACGAAGTATAAAGTTACAATAGTTAAAAGTTGATACAAAAATAGATTAATCAATTGTAAGGAAGAGTAAAAAAGTAAACCACAGTATATATAGAAATTTAGTTTATGATAAAAATGTCATTTCTAATTGGTGGGAAAATGATGTATTATTTAATAATGGTCTAACTGCCTACTCATCTAAGGAAGAAAATAAGCCAGATTCTTACCTTACTTATAATAAAATATACAATTTAAGTATAAAATACAAAACCATAAAAATAACTAAAATGGGTGAATATGCTTATAATCTTGAAATAAGAAAAGGCCTTTCTAGACAAGTCACAAAATCAGCAACCATAATAATTATAGTAATATTAGTTAGAATTTATTGAGGGCTTACTATGTGCTAGACACTTAGTGTAAATTGTTCTGTTATCCCCCAAGATATTCTATGAAAAAGAAACCACAGCTTATAACTTGATCAAGGTCCAGTGGTAGACATGGAGGAAGTGGGGGTCCACAGCCCAGGCCAGAGCATACTTTGCCATAGCACCCTTGTATCGTAAGTGTTGATCGATTTAACTCCATAAAAATTTAAACTACAATCAGCATAAAAAAAATAATAATAAGCCAAGAAAAAAAGATGATATAACAAAGAATATACCATGTAACGGATTCTTACAAACAAATGCCCCCAAAATTGGCAAAAGACATAAACAGGCAATCACAATAAAATAAATAAAGATGGGTAATAAACATCTTTAACTGAAAGCACTGAGTCTGGCAGTGAAAAGGGTGATAACAAATGCAAAAGAAATCAACTATGAACTCATCATCAGATTGGCTGAAGTGTGCAGGCTGTAAGGATCGACACCCTCACGCGAGATGGCATCCAAAAGGAAAGGGTATAAAATACACTTACACCTGCTACCCCATATCACAAACAAGAGAAAAAAGAAGGGTGCTCAACAAAGTCCATTACAGACTTTTATAAAAATGAAAACACAGAGAAACAGCCCACATTGCCATGTGTAAATTAGATGATTCACATCTGTGTTTACTGACATGGAAAGATGTCCATAACAGGTTGAGAGAAAAAGACAAAAGGCATGTGGTTTCATCCTCCTAATGAGGATGGGAGAAGTGTCTGGTAGGATATCCCACTAAAGTTCACAGCGGTCATCTTGGGTGAGTGCATCTCAGGTGATTTTCACTTTTTCTAATTTTTCTCTTTTGTTTAAATTTTTAAAATAATCATATATCATTTTACAAAAGCAATAAAGTTTTTTCCACACACAATCAAGCCTCCAACTCTCCTTGGTGTCTACAGAATGAAGTCAGAATTCTTCAGCCTTTCATTCAAGTTCTGACAGTTACTCCTGTTCGTGGAGCTACGTGGCCTTTGTCCCACCGCACAGACACAAAGACACACAACACCCACAGCTCCATGTCTGAAAGACCTCTCTGCCCACCTCCGATGGACCTTGAAGACTCAAATCAAATGCTATCCATTCCAAAAGCCTCTCTGTGTTCTGGGATTTTTGGGGGCAAATTCTCTTCTCTGCCCCGTGTTTTACCTTCTACCTCACATTTTACTGTCCTGGCAGAGCTAAGCACCTTGAGGGGAGAGCACCGGCTTCCTCCTCCACAGGCCCCAAAGTGCCTGACCTAGAGCAGCTGCTCAGAAATGCTTCCTTTGACTGGAGGCTCTAAATGTCTCAGTGGAGAAAGTCAAACACTTTAACAAATGGAAAACAGATACTTCCTAGCAAGAGAGCATAAAGCTCACTGGGGACGAAGAGGCTGGGATTTCCCTTGTACACCTAAGTTATTCCTCGGACTCACCTTGCCTCTTCTAGCAAAGGGTCAGAACAGTGCTTGCCAATCACCAGCATCATGTGGGAGCCTCTGGGAAAAGGCAAGGTGACCCTTCTAAGGCTCTTCCTTGGGGGCGTGTAGAGAACGGAGCTTACCTGGTTCATGGTGGCTTTCAGCATTTCCAGAAGCAGCAGGCCACCTTCCAAGCACAGGCCAGCCCGGAGGACCTCTTCTCTGTGGTGCTTCTGCAGGAGCCACCGAAGCATGGCCTCGAGGCTGTCCTAAGGAGGAGAGAGGGGCGAAGGCCTGCCGTCACAGACCGAGGGACCACTTTTCACAGGCAGTGCCTCCCATTTCCTGGGGATGCCCAGGGGAAGGGCAGAAAAGAGTAGCAGCAGCCATGGCAGTTGGTCCTCATGGAGCATTCAAGCCCAACAGATGGTGCACAGGGAAACATACATCTCTAAGAAGGAGCTCGGAGCCTCTGGGTGGTGCCAACAGTTAACATGCACAGCAGCTAACTGAAAGGTTGGAGGTTCAAGTCCACCCAGAGACACCTCAGCAGAAACACCTGGCAATCTACTTCTGAAAAATCAGTCATTGAAAACTCTATGGAGCACAGCTCTACTCTGACACACGTAGGGTCGCCATGAGTCAGGGTCAACTCCATGGCAACCGATTTTTAAAAGAGAGCTGAAGACCCACTAGCATCTCTCATCAAGTTTAGTTCTTTTGGTCCGACATCACAAGTAGTCAATGTCCTAAGCAATTTTATTGAATTTTAATAAATGAGATCATGTAAGACATATGAAGAATTCAAAGGTTTCTAGGGACAGTGTGGAGTGCAGGGTAGAGTGCATGGGGTTTAGACTCAGTGTGACCTGATTTTGCTTCTTTAACGGCTGGGCTCTGGCAAGCCGTTCAGACTCTTGGCAGCTCGGTCTCCTTCTCTGTGAGACAAAAATTACATTATCTACCCCATGGGATTATTATAAATATCACGCGAAATAAAATATGTAAAATGTCTATCAGGCATCCTGACATTCAGCAAATGTCTGTTTCCTACCATGTTTTCTTGGAGAAATAAAATGAACTTAGCACAACATATTACGAATTTTATTTGAAGTGTAATATATAATGCTATTAGCATATATCAAGATTTACATCTATCAAACATAAGATTATGTAAGAGAGGTGAATTTTCCCCCTTCTATTTTCAAAGCCATGCCCCTCCCCTATTTCAGTTCAGTTCACTTTAACTCAACTCAATTAAGACCAAGAAATAAGTTTGAGTCTGCTATTGGACAGGTGCCAAGGAGAGTGAGCAAAAGGTGGGGTCAGTTCTTGAGGTGTTCGTTCAGTATCTAAGGAGGGAGGCAAACTTGTAAACATGTCAATGCCAAACAAGGTATAATATATGCTGAGCCACAAACGAGGAGATGATCCCTCTCTGTCTAGGAGGTCTAAGCCAGGAGATAGCACCTGAGCTGAATACTGAAGGAAGAGACACCCACCAGGCAGGCGAAGGTGGGAGAAGAAGGTATCAAGGGATTGGTATCGGCATAGGGCAGGCAAGCACAAATTAGCTGGTATTATTGGGGAAGAAGTTCCAAATGGTCACAACACAAAGGGCAGGTGAGTGACGAAGATGGACTGGGGAGATAAGGCAGGCGCCCAATCATGGAAGGTCTTGCTTGCTAGTGAGTGATGGACTTGAGACCTAACCCTTCAGGAACAGGGAGCTAGTGAAGACTTGGATTTGGTGTGAGACAGTGAAAAGTTTGTACAGAGAACCTAGATGCCTCTTTGAAGAAATCTGGCCAAGGAAGGATGTAAGTGTGGTGAATAGGGTAGTTGCTGGTTAAGAGTGTGAGTGAAGGGGGCAGCTGCTGGTTTTAGGTGGGACAGAGTTGAACACAGGGTCTATGAGCAAAAATCAGTAGAAAAGCAGATGTGGAAAAAATATAGAAGGAAATACAGAAAACATGGAAGACACAAAATAAGGAAGAAAGGAGGGATAACAACAGGGCGACGTCACTTGGGAAAGTAGAAGAAGGAATCAAAATGCCAGGGGGAGAAACCAGCCTTGGAAATCAGCCCTCTTCCAGTGACAGTGGAGAGCAGGCCGTGAGGAAGGTCCCAGGCAGAAAGAGGTGGTGCAGAGTGGGGTACTGAGGCAATGCCCCCTCACGGGCGGCCCCTACTCCCACTGTCAGCTAAGACCTCTAATCAAGGGTAAACCCATTGCTGTCAACTTGATTCCGACTCACAGTGATCCTATAGGACAAAGTAGAACCACCCCACAGAGTCTCCAAGGAGTGCCTCATGGATTTGAACTGCCAACCATTTTAGGTTAGTAGCCATAGCTCTTAATCACTGCGCCACCAGGGCTCCCTGATCAAGGGTTGAAGACTCAAAAGTATACGAGGTTTATATGAAAACATCTGGGAATAGGAGGGGTCACCAAGGAAAAGGGACCTATTTTTATTTTTTATGCAGGCACAAACTGAGACTTGAGCCCCCATCACCATGTGACTTAAACGTGGGACTGACCCCAATCAGACTTGCTGGGAGGGTTGACAGGAACAGTGCCTGGGATACCAAGGGTGCTGACAGGAAGGCATGTGGGAAGCTAACCAAGAGGTGCAGGACTCTGGGGGGACGGGGACCAGGACACAGACGTGAGTCTGAAGAGTGGGGAAAGTGAAAGGTGGAGACTCAATGAGATGCCCGGGGTCCCATGAAGTCAGAGACCAAGTCTGTCCCGGCATCCCAGCAAGTCCCCAGAACTTACTTTGGGCTGGTCAGTCAGCTCGGTGAGTGGAGTCTGCAGGAAGAAGGCAGACACAATGAGGTAGACTTCAGCAATATGAACATGGTGGGCCAGGAAGTCATTCAACACACGGAACCCAGGAAGCAAGCAGGCGCTCTGCTCAGGCGTGGCAGGGGGACTCTTCAGGTTGTCTATTGATCAGGGAGAATGGGCACAAATCCAGCGATTGAGAACAACTGCTGTTGCTCTGGGCAAGGTGGGGACTGGACACACGAGGAAATGCCCTGCCACCCTCCCGCCCCTTAGGAACACTGGAGGGAAGTACCGTCACACACAGATGAGCACGAGGAAGTGCTGGACAGTAATTCCTTTCCTGTTCCCAGCATGCTCCTTCGTTCATCCATTCAAACACAGATACCACCTAGTGGTGCCGACTGTTAACACATTTAGCTATCAACTGGCAAATTGGAGGCTCAAGTCTACCCAGAGGTACCTCAGAAGAAAGGCCTGGAAATCTACTTTTGGAAAATCATCCACGGGAGACCCTATGGAGCACTGTTCTACTCTGACACACATGGGGTGGCCGTGAGTTGGGGTCAACTGGAAGGCAACTTTGTACTAGGCAATAAGGGCACAGTGTTTGGACAAAATATACAGAAGTTAGGACGCAAAACTCACAGTGTGGTGGGAGAGACAGATATTAGGCAATTAAATACCCAAAGAAATATATACCTATGAACTGTGATAAGCATCTTAAAGGGAAATAATAGGTTCCCTGATTGAGGCAGGACCTCTCCTCTCCTGAAGGATGAATCCACGTCAGCCAGAGAGGTGTGCTGGTATTATGGGTTTGGGTGACACACCCCAGGCAGAAGGAAAGGGGTGTAAGGGCCCCAGGAGAAAAGAGCTAAGGAGACTTTGAGGACTGGAAAGAAGCCCCCTGTGGCTGAAGTGTGGCGAGGCCGTGGAGGGAGTCCTGGTCATGCAAACCTTGGAGTCAGTGGTCGGCCATGACCTTAACAAGGTCTGGAGCAGGGAGAGGTTTAATTAGGCCATCACCCACATCCCAGGACTCGAGGTAGAGGATCTCCTCAGATTGGGTACACTCACTCATTATGATGTCCACACCCGCGGCGCTGTTTGCCACCCAGGATCCGGCCGCCATGCCCTCTTTAAATCGCCCCCGGAGGACGGGGCTTGACAAGAAGTACAGCAGCAGCTTCAGCCCCAGGACGGTGGTGCTGGGGTGCAGGTGGCCCTGCATGAAAAGCAGGAACCAGTCTGGCCCCAGGCTCAGAAACGCTTCTTCCTTTTTCCTGGGGGGAGAATACAATGAACAATGTCTCTGGCTGTGGGCAAATGACAAGTCCAGAAAATACAAACAATGCTCAGCCCCAGTAGCCATCTAGGAAAGGTAAGCTAAGGTTAACATTTGGATGTCACTAGGCAAAGTATAGATTACACTTTAAAAGGATGGTAAAATAAAATCCTGGCAAGATTGCTGTGAATTTGATGCATTCGTTTATTAATGACTGTGTTACAAATTGTCCAACGCTTTTCAAAGCAATTGGAAACTATACATCAATAGATGTAAAAATATGCATGGCCCTCGACAGCCCTGTTTCACTAATATTCATATGTACGCAGTATATGAATAACCATCCATCTAATTTAATTACCACAATATAGTCTTATAAAACATAAATGATTATTTACTTTCCTTTTTAAAGGCACTGATCAAAATGAATTAAACGGAATAGCCTAATATTCATGCATCTTAATTGGTTTAGGCAAAAAATACTACTAAATGCCACTTTAGAAAATGAATTTTAAAATGAGTCTGGAGAAGGCAGATTTGCTAGAGGCAACTGTCAGGAAGGGAGATGGGCAGCTAATCTAGTAGGACCCACGGCCTCAGCAAACAGACCCAGCCTCATGGGAGCCAAGCATGGGCCATCTGTGCTACACAGTGTTCTTGGCATCAGCTGCCAAACTCATCTGATGAGGGTTTGGCTGGTGTTCAGTGGAGACTGTGGGGAGCAGTGAGAGGAGCACTGGACAAGGAGTCAAGGCTCTGATGTTTACTGACTGAATAACTGTGAAGAGCGCTTAATGAGCTCCGGTCACCGTGCTCAGTGATGTGATGTGATGATGATGACGGTAGCTCTATCTTACAGAGTATTTACATATTCCAGGACCATTCTCAGTGCTAGCTAGCCACACATTAATTCCTTTAATCTTCACAAGAACCATCTGTGGCGGCACTGTTTTGATCTTCATACAGAAGAGTACAAGAGAGGCATAGAGGCCTGAAATCCTCTCCCCAAGACCACCTGGGACAGAGCTGGGATTCAAACACAGCAGGTCTAGGCACCAGAGTCCAGGTGTTAACCACTACACTGCATTCCCTCTCAAAAAGATGTAAAAAGAAAGGATTGGAATCACTCACCTCCAAGGGATCTTCCAGTTCTACTGTTTTGATTCTAGAAGTGTAAAGACTTGCAGGCTGGTAAATTTCTAGACTCTTTTCACCGCTGCTCAACTCCCTCTCACCCCACACACACCACACACAAACGTACACTCATCGAGAGCGCGAATCTGCACTGCCTTGTTGAGCACTGCAAACCACATCTGGTATCCAGCAGGTGCTCAACCAACAGCTGCTGAATGAATGACTCCAAGGTTGGAGGAGAAGCAGGCAGTTAGCAAAAGAGTTCATGGAATCAGCCTTACAGTTACACATTATTTTGAAAATTAATAGAAGGCAGATACTTCTTTTTTTAACTTGGAAAAAATAACTAAATAGCTAACTAAATAGCAGTAGAATCTGGCAAGCTTTTTCCTTGATAGATGTTATTTCGGCTAACCATTTCTCCATCCTGTTCTCTGCCAAGGCCAGGACATCAAAATCAGTAATTGTCACAACTGCCGAAACAATAACCATTATACAATAGCAATGGTGACAAAAAGAGTTCATTGTAATGATACCAAATCTGTTTCTAGTTACTCTTGCCCGCTTAACATTTGCATCAGAATATCTCAGGGCAAGGTCTGGTTTATTGGGTGGAGAGAATATAATTTTCTTTCTGAGTCATGCAGGAAACACACTGCAGAACACTGATTCGGAGATGCTACGCTTTTCATTAAAGAAAGGTTTTAACACTGCACCCTCTATGGGGCAACCTCACGCCAAATCACTCTTCCTGGAGCTACTCACTCAGAGGACAGATGAAGGTGGCCAGAAGACATTACACTGAGCAGCATCTCCAGCAGCTGGTTTCTGAGCCAGATTGTCTTTCCAGATGTTTGGCTTCCAGCTACAAAAAGGAAAATTCAGATTTGAGAGAAAATGAATGTAAAAGAGACATAATATTTGCCGCAGTAAATCATCTTATTCACCAAATGCTTAGTTCACCCAGGAATTGGGGAATGGATGAGATTCAAAATTTTGGCATTCAATTCCAGACTGCAATGCAATGCTTAAAAACAATTTCAGGAAATGTTCTAAAGTTATCTTTAATTAGATATTTCTTCAGTGCTCTCTTCTATCCTCCAAAAAAGCCTAAAAATGATAAGGTCAAATCAGTCATTCTGTAGATTTTTTTTTTTTAATGATCACAGACGGCAACATGTATCAAGCACCTGCTATGTGCCAGGTGTTATGCGAGGCACGGGAGTAGAGAGGTGAAGACCCTTCTCTCCTGGTTCTTGTTCTCAATTTGCCTGCAGACCAGCCTCTTGCCCCATTCTGACACTGAAGTTATAACCAGCACAGCTATATCACTAAAAATAGAGCTGCAATTGTAGCAAGGGGGATACAGACCCAGTCGGAGAAGGAAGCTAGCTTCTGAAGTGTTGTTAAAGCCCAAAGGACACATTAAAAGTGGCTTAACATAGATGGCTTAGTTAGATAAAATGTCAGGACGCAGGCCATGCGAGGCGGACATACTAAGTAAGCTCTCGGCTGGCCTGTCAGTCGTTCTCTCATCCTCTCGATTGGCCAGTTCACGACACACGCTGCAGATCTAGACAGATGAGGAGCTTGGGGCAGTGGAGTCAGATTTCCCTGTTTGGATTCTGGCTCCACCTCTTATTAAGAACTTAATCTCTCTGAGCTTCAGCTTCCTCATCTGTAAAATGGGAATAATAATTTCCACTTGATCTAAGAATAAGAGATACTGAATATAATTTATCTTGATTGAATAATGCCGTCCAAGAAAATCTTTTGTAATGATAGAAATGTTTTGTATTTTCACTATCCAATACAGTAGCCACTAGCCACATGTGGTTATTAAGACTTGATATGTAGATAGTGTGATGGAAGAACTGAATTTTTAATTGCATTTAATTTTAAGTAATTTAAATTTAAACGGCTACATGTGGCTATTACCTCCCATCTTAGCACAGTTCTGGAAGTTCTGGGACAATGAGGTCACTAATGTTCCTTTCACCCCTTCCCTAGGTAGTAGGGATGCTCAATGAGACGTAGCTGCTGGTCTGTATTTTGGTTGGAGAGAGAGAGAAATACTCAAAAAGAAATAAATCACAAACCTGTGTAATAAGGTGGAGCCCTGGTGCTGCAGTGGTTAAGAGCTTGGCTGCTAACCAAAAGGTCAGAAGTTTGAATCCACCAGCCCCTCCTTGGAAACCCTACGGGACCGTTCTACTCTGTCCTGTAGCGTCACTATGAGTCAGAATCGACTCGACGGCAACAGGTTTGGTCTATTAAGGTAAGCCGAAAGGGGCTTTAGATGCACAGATTATCACTGACTCTGGCTTGGTGGGACTGGGAATGGCTGGGAATGGCTCTGTGGAGGAAATGACTCCTGTCTAGTCTGATAGGGTGAGGTAGACAGGTGGGGTGGGGCAGAGGAAGACACTCCTGTAGAGGGAACAGCATGTGCAAAGGCATGGAAGGATGACAGCATATGCGGACTGGCAAGTGGTTCCGAGTAGCTGCAGCTGGAGCTCATGGGGGAGTGGGAGAACATCAGACCAGGCAGGCGGGGGCTGGAGCACAAAGGACCCAGTGCTGGCCTGTGACAACTGACTTCCTCCTGGGGGCCGCAGAAGGCACCGAAGGTCTCGGAGCAGTCATACAAAATTCTATTTGATCTGTGACCCTGATCATGGACCTACAGCATCACAAGCAAATGCTCAGCCACGGGTGCCTCCCCGCTCTTTGCCTCAGCCCCTCCCTCTTGCAAAGTGTCCCCACAGAGTGTGCCACCGAGGGGTGCGGCGTGGGGAGAGTCTTCTCACCAGGTGCAGAGAGGTCCAGGACTCCGTCCGTGCAGGTGTGCCTCTCGTTCACTGACGAAGGCTTGAGGGTGTACACGACAAACAGGGCGACCCTTCACGCAACAGGGAGAGAAGACACGCCCAGTGGGGGCTCAGCACGCGTCTGCGGGGCACTTGTCAGAGTCTCCTACCCGGGTTCACCCAGTGTGGCTTCAAGCAAGAGCTTACAGGGCATCACATTATTCTCTGATCAATGCAATATTTCCAGACAGTCATAAAACCTGCCAGGCTTCACCAAAGGGGTTAACTCTGGCTACTAGAGTAATGATGAGGGAAGAACGGGCTAAAGGTGGCGCCAGCTGGGGAAATCCTTCGCGAAGTCTGCAAGAAGCAGGCATGCTGATTCCCTGGCCCTCGTGAAGATTGCTGTGTTCGTGGAGACTCCTGCACCATGGGCACAGCCACCCACCCCATCCCGAGTCTAGCAGCTGCCCCCCTCGCCCCCCCAACACTTTTCTCAACCCTCAGCCTTCATCAGTAACGTCTAGAATGTTTCAAGGACACAGACTCTGCTAACTGCATTGGGAGGCAGTGATGCTGGGGTAGATGTGGTCAGGAATGAGCTGGGGCCCACATTCCCTTAGTGAAATTGTTCTGCATCCTTCCCTGCCCCGAGGAAGCTTGGTGCAGTACCTGAGCATGTCCTGGAGGCTAAAGTGGCCCCTCAGCTGGTGGCCCAGGATAGCAATGATGGTGGTGATCTTGGAGGGGGTGAGGACCGGCTCATTGAAGAGGGAGACGAGCTTGGGTATGAGCTGTGCTTGGTGGGCAACTTCGGCATTCCTGGGTCCTTCCCTGGTGAGTCCAGGAGAGAGAAAGTGAAAGCTTTTACAGGAAATAACCAAATTTGCTGTGTTTCTGCTAAAAAGGTTTTCCAGGCTGGGCTTGTTTCATGGCCCTCTAACGCCAATCTTCTCTTGGCAACTTGTCAAAATACTGTCAGACACCCATCAAATATGTGTCTGCCAAAGGCTAGAGTCGCTCAGGGATGAGCCTCCCCATTGCCTTCTACCCCTGGAAAATGCCTGCAAAGACAAACCCCAATTATTGACTTTTAAATTCCGAGCCTCAGGGAAAACTAATGCTGGTCTCAGAAAACTCAGAACAAAGACAGCAGACACGCATGTGACCACGGAGCACTTCCCAACAGCCAGGAGCCCGGACCTCCACAAGCCTGTCTGGGTGTGTGCTCTTCCTGCCCTCCTCAAACCACAAAGTGGATGAACACGCCGTGCCAGGAGCCAAAGGAGAAAGAGACAGAACTGAAGAATCCACATCCCCCTCTGTAGGATAATCACAAAGCCAATTTCCTGTAAACTGTACTCCCCCAAAGAAAACAGCTCCCAGGATAAACGTCCGTCTCTTAGCAAAAAACAGGTACAGGTACAAAGAAAGTGGAAAGTGGAAAACAAGGTAGAAGAGGGTATTTTCAGCCTTTACATGTTGTGTTCTGCCATGTTCCACATCCCTAATTCACAAGAGAGGCAGAACTAGGCCCAGTTTTGCAGGTGAGTTACAAGAGAGGTAGAACTAGGCCCAGTTTTGCAGGTGAGTTAAATTCATTGGCTCGGCAGGGAAGAACCTCTTTCCGCTCATACATTCTTGCTGCTTTGTGTACCCCTCCCTAGCCAAGCTCTGAGCAGCACGGGTTTCCGTGTAATTTCTCCCTAGGACTGAGTCACACTCATCTCTAAACTTCCAGTACTAAGAACTGGGTCAGCCAACCTTTTGTCAGTTTGTGATACTGTGGGGGCCTGTGTGTTGCTGTGATGCTGGAAGCTATGCCACCAGTATTCAAATACCAGCAGGGTCCACTGTGGTGAACAGTTTCCGTGGAGCTTCCAGACAGACTAGGAAGAAAGACCTGGAGATCTACTTCTGAAAATTAGCCAGTGAAAACCCCATGGATCACAACAAAACATCGTCCAATACAGTGCTGGGAGATGAGCCCCCTAGGACGGAAGGCGCCAGAAATACACACTGGTCAAAACAATGGACTCAGACACCGGTGATGGGGAAGATGGTGCAGGACCGGGCAGCGCTTCATTCTGCTGTACGTCGGTCGCCACGGTCGGAACTGATTCCATGGCAACCAACAACAACAGCAACATGGAGGGTTTATAATTGATATTCAAAAACGGGTGGGGGCCGAAATAAAAAGATGTTTTGAAAGATATTCAAAAGCACAGCAGATGTGAATAATCACTAAAACAGCTATCCCTGTGACCCTTGATAAGTCGCCCTCCCTGCCTCCCTTCTCCCCTCCTCTGACCACAGCCCTGGTGTACTCTGGGAACTGCCTCTTTCTAACTCACCTTCACCCCCTCCAGATGTGAACGCATGTACAGGCCTGGGCAGTGTCACAGGGACTGACCGGGAACGGGATGTGCCCAACCTGGCCCAAGGAGACAATCCTTTTGCTAGTACTTTCTGAGTTTTTTTTTAAAAAAACCTTCCTTCTGCCAACTGTGCCAGGTTGAGGGTGTGCTCTAAGGACCTGCAGCAGCCCTGTGCTGCCACATGAAGGAGGCTCCAGGAAATGAAGCCACCACAGACAGGATGGGGGGTGGAGTTCAGATAAAACAGTGTGAGCCCCGTCCAGCCATGGGTTAACAAGCTACCTTGTTCAACTGTACAAGCCAATACATTCACTCTTTATCCAGTCTCCCTCCCTTCCTGGAGTCCCTGGGTGGTATAAAAGTTAACATGCTCAGCTGATAACCCAAAGACTGGTGGCTCAAGTCCACCCAGAGGTGCCTTGGAAGAAAGGCCTGGTGATCTACTTCTGAAAAATCAGCCACTGAAAACCCAATGGAGCACAGTCCACTCTGCACACATGGGGGCACCATGAGTTGGTACTGACTCAAAGGGAACTGGTTTGGTTGTTTTCTTCCTTCCTCTCTCCCTCCCACTTTCCATCTCTGTTTCCTTCCTTGATCTGGTTTGAGTTATATTTCTGCCACTTGCAACCAAAAGGAGGAGCCCTGGTGGCACGCTGGTTAAGCGTTTGGCTACTAACCGAAAGGTCAGCGGTTTGAACCAGGGCTTCGAACCAGGGCTTCAAACAGGTTCGTTTGCATTTCCACCCCAGATACACTGAATCAGAATCTACATTGTAACAAGATTCCCAGGTGACTCTTATGTATAATGAATCTTGAGAACCACTGTTCTACTGGTGGTTCTCAGAACTGGTCCCTAACCAGCAGCATTAGCATTGCCTGGGAACTTGTTAGAAATGCAAATTCTCCGCAGGGGTTCAAACTGGAACGAACCAGATAGAAGCCCTGGTTGAACCCACCAGCCACACCATGGAAGAAAGATGTGGCAGTCTGTGCCCATAAAGATTACAGCCTTGGAAACCCTATTGGGCGGTTCTACTCTGTCCTATATGGTCGCTATGAGTCAGAATGGCCTTGATGGCAGCAGGTTTGATTTTGATTTTGGTTTTGGTTTGCAGCTAATTTAAAAAGTGACTTTAGAGTCAGTTAGAGGAAGAGTGGTCGGGGAAGCAAAGTGGGGCGTGGAGGAGGTGGTCCTTCGGTGGCCACATTTAGAGCCCCAGCCCCTGCCCTCCAGAGGCCCAAGACTCCCCCTGCCCCAGGAGACAGTCCAGTCCCATGCATGGGAGCCTGAGAGGGACGTGTCCCACCCAAAGACTGAGAGCCCCGGGAAATGGGAGTGGGCCAGGGCTGCTGAGTCGCTGACCATCCTGCTACCCACCCCCCGCCCCCCAAGTCCCTGTACCCTACATGAAGCCTTTAGTTCTAACACCCAGGCTGCAGAGTCCAGCTTACCTTGGTGACTGGAAAATTTCAACAAGATGGGAGAAGAGGGTGAGGTCCAGATTGTCTGCAGTATTCATCCAGAGCTGTGAGACAGAACAAACAGACTCTGAAGCCAGGACATGTGCGGAGAAGGACTTCCAGGCTGCATGAAAATACAGGATGCTTGCCATAGCACCCTTTGCCTTGCAATCACCCACGGGACTTCCTGGCTCTCCCATCACACGAGGCCCCGGTACTCAGACCGTGCATCCCAGGGGGAAGTTCGGACACCTTTCCTCTCCCATCTCCGCTGCTGTCTGGCGCTTGACTGTGGCTCTGATTCCAACCAAGGAAATGTGCACCAAGCATCTCCCAGGTCTGCTGGGCCCACACGCCCACCAAACGCATTTCATCCTCACTCCACCCTGCAAGGCATACACCAGTGTTCCCACTTTACAGATGAGAACGTGGAGGACGAGACAGACAGTTGACTGACAGGCCCCAATCACCACCAGCCAGTGGTGGGACTGGGATCAGAAGCCAGGTCTCCAGCTTGCAGTTTTAAGCTAAGCCAACTATAGCACCTAGCTGGTGAATGCGACACTTTCCTCCATTCACTCATCTATAAAACCTGCAACCCAAGCCCAGTTCCCCTCTCCTGCATGACAGAACTGTGAGTGACAAACATATGGAAGACGCACTGAGATTCCTGGAGTGAAGCTTATCACCCAGGTCATTTTAGTTTACAGTAAACAGAACGCAGTCGAAGCCAGTCTCTTTGGGGCAGCGCTGAAGGTGCACACTCATGACTCATTCCTAGATCCCTATTTACAGAGCTCTGTTGTTTTTCATCTCCAAATGCTGACAGTTCCTAAGGCCCAGAATGTAAAAGGGGGAGAAATGGGTTTACAAGAGTGCACTCATGTAGCGTCAAACAAAACAACTCACGTTTAGAAATCATGCCATTTACTGGAGGCAAAAGTTACTCTACAAAGTCTCATGGTATAGATAAGGCTTAGCGTCCCACCGTTTTTAACTGGCAGAGGCTGGTTTCTGGATCCCGTGTCTTGCCCGTGTGCTGTGGTCCCTCACAGGCATCTCTGGCACAGCAGTGATCCACAGGGTCCACACCCACCTCACTGGAGACCCATCCGTGGCCACGGCATTGTCCTCTTACTTCAGAGGGGATGCACCAGAGCCCCAGTGAACACAGGCTTATCAGAAGGGCCATGAAGGTAGGGCCAGCGCTCTCCAGTCCTCAGCGCCCAGCACCACACAGCCCACACAGTAGGCACTTACTAAGGATCTATTTTTTTTTTTTAAAGAGTAAATGCAAAGCAAACCAAGGTAAAATGAGTAAATCAAGTCCACTGCCCAGGTTCCCGGTGCAGAGGTAGGTCACATGCTGCCCTTTGGGACAGCTGGTGTGGGCTGATGTGCTTACACTGGGGGTAGAGGTAGCTAGGCATGGCCACCCAACATACACATCTGTGGGACTCCAAGAGCCCTGTATTCTCGGAATATCCATTCATTAAGGCAGTCCGTCATTCAACAAACAATGTGCTGGGAACTGGGAGTCAGGAGAAGGTAAGACATGAACCTACCAATCTGGTCTGCTGTACCCCTTACCCTTCCCACAAAAGTATAACCCCCCTTTCCTTTCCAGAACATTAGAACCATAAGAAGTTGCCATAACGCATTTGAATGGCTACCTAACTCTTTCAGAAATTATTCTGCATAATACCAAATACCTGAATTTTGTGAAACAGACAGTTGAATCCTTTGGTTGTTACCCTATTTCACATAGCCACTGTATTGAACTGAGATGTCTGCATTAGATTTGTCTGAATTTCAAATAGATAATGTGTCAAAGCCCACTCTTTCCCCACCCCTGCATCCACCTCACTCTCAGAAATGAGCTGGTCTTCCACCTCTTCAAGAAACAAGAAGCCTCAGACGTGAATGCCTTCAACTTCTTGTCCTGCCTGCCTCAAACCTGCCTCGGTGGATCCTACCCTTTCTCCTAACACCCATTCTCTTATTTGCAAATCCTGTCTCCTTTAAGAACTTGATCCAGCAATAGTTTATTCTCTCACTCATCTGTCAGGGGAGGCTTGCGTGTTGCTATGATGCTGAATAGGCTTCAGCAGAGCTTTCAAACTAAGATGGACTAAGAATAAAGGCCTGGCAATCTACTTCCAAAAACCAGCCATTGAAAACCCTATGGGTCACAATGGATTTCATTGTGCATGAAGCCACCGTAGGGTCACCATGAGTCAGGGGCCAACTCAACAGCAGCTAACAACAACAGTATTTTACTGCTCCGTTTCCTCTGCCTCCTTCCCCTCAACCTGCGATCAGAGTCAAGTCTCTCCCACCTTAACATACAAAACTAGAAGTCCTGAAACTTCTCCCTGCATTTTCTTCTCCTCTTTAATTCTTGAAAAGCCCATTGCCTTTCCCTGCTTCCAGCCTCCCCTCCACTCTGAACTCACTTCTACTCTGGCTTCTTTCTGACCCCACTATTCTGTTTCCACCAAGCTCCTGGATGACCTCTAATTGCCAAACGTAACGGATGCATCCCTGTCCCGACATTACTTGGCTTATGCTCTCGTCTTTATTTTCCTTCCTTCTTTTTCTGAGTTTATTTTAATTTATTTTATTGTCACTCTAACTTCTTGATTTGATGCTCAGTTCATTATCTTTTCCTCTTTTTCTAATATACCCCTGATGACCATATGTTTCCCACTACGTCCTGCTTTCAGTGTCATCCCCTCAGACTTTGATGACACAGGTTTTCACCGTCATTCGGTTCTGAATCACTTCTCATTGGAATGACGACTCCCTCATTGCCCCTCCTCTCCACCCCACAGCCTTCGCCCAAGTTCAGGTTTCCAAATCTTCCACCTGGATTTCTGCAACAATCTCATGACTCAGGCTCAGAGCTTGCACTACCAGAGTAACGCATCCAAGATAAAATTCTAACAAGTCACTCTCAGGTACCATCCTTAGGTGTCAGCAATTCGGCAAAACTTGTCAACAACCAGGAAAAATTGTTTATAAAGCTTTTATCTCCATAATCAACTGTGATAATTTATTCTATTTCTAAATGTGGAGGGGGGAATGTATGCTCAACAATCTCTACAGGGGGGTAGCAGGGGTAAAGAGCGCCCAGAAGCAATCTCTGAGTTGCCCTCCCCCAATGTAAGATGAATAGACACTGATAGCGGCGATGTGTCAGCAGAAACTCCTCCCCTTCTCATCCGGCTGCCTCAGTCACATGCCTTTAATATTTGTGGCACCTCGGGACGTCATTCCACACCTCGCCTGGTGCCCGTCAGAACTTGTGTCCTGGGAGCGGGTGCCCTCCTCTGCCCACCCCCCTCACTATGCCTCTTCATCTCTGCAGTGTTCAGAAGAACAACATAGAGGAATAATCTAAGAATTCAACAATAGGGGAATGGATAAGAAATCAGGAACTCTCCACAGGTAGAGTATCATACTGACCTCAAAACAATGCTTGCATAGTTTGTAATAAAATTGCTTAAATGTTTATGCTATGTGAGAAAAGGCAGCACTCAAAATAACATCTATGGTTTGATCATGCTTATGATAAAAAATTATTCATAGAACATACTAGAAGGGAATGGATCCAATACTGACAACAGTTGTCTGGATGTTGGAAATAGAAAGCATCCCCTCTTCATTTTCTGTAATTTAAAAATATTCTATAATAAGAATATATTAATTTCACAATAAAAGAGTCTGCGACTCTGATGTACTTCATGGCCACCAGTACGCCCGAGTTAAAGGACATACCATCAGCTTAGCACCTCAGGCTTGTCTTCTCTCCCTCGCCTGCGGCCTCGCCTGCAACCAGCACAAACCGGCATGTGCCCGCCAAGACACTTACTCTCAAATTCCCTGGCTCTTCTCATCCCAAAGTGTTTTCCAATAGCACCTCCACCTGGAATGGTCTTCCCCCACCGAGTTCATTCTGCCAGATTCAGCTTCAGAGTAATTTCTCCTACGGAAACTTTCCTGATCGGCACTGACTGTCGCCCCACTCCCACTTCCCAGATGCTCTGTGCCTGCCTCAAGGTGGCACCTAGCACATGGTGTTGTCCCCAGGCCATGCCTCAGGCCCATGCCCTGTGTGGAGGCCTGGGTCACGGTCATCGCCGTATCTCCAGGACACAGCCAGCACATGACTCCACTGGGAGCTCTGTAAATGATGCTTCGTGGATGGATCAAGCCTCACTTACCTTCACGTGTCCATCAGCAGCTTTCAGTCTTTCAGGATCATTTGGAAACAGCAAAGCACCATCCAAAGGAACTGGGGTAATTTATTAAAAACCTTCCTATGTATACAGTACTTCGGAGTTTAAAAATCCATTTCTTTCATACATGAAAAGACTGGGGCTTGGAAAGATTAAGAGGCTTACCCAAGGCCACACAGCGTATACATGATAGGATTTAATTATAAACCAAGGCTGTAGGCTCTAAAGCCTTTGTGGTTTTCCCTCTACTCATGACTATCAAGGAAGTTGACCTGCTGTATTTAAAAGAAGCTCCATAATTTCCTACCATATTTTACCATCACATGTACTTCTTAAAGGCTAAGGACTAATTTTCAGTTTACCTCAAAATTGCAGAGGACGTGCTGGAAGATACCAATGTTGGCAATAGTCGATGATCTGAAGCCCAGTTCAGCAGTGCCAGCAATTGAGAGGATTAGCTGAAAAATTCTATGGTTTAGGAGTGAAGTCTTTTTTCTCAGCAGAAACGCCATTATCTGAAAAGATTAAAGCACAGAAGGGTTTCCTCATAAACGCATCTTTAGAATCCTTCTCCTTTCTACCTGCTTGTTCCTACCAGCACATTAGGTCAGTCCAGTCTGAAACCCTCTGTTCTCAGGAGCTACCATCCTTTGCTCCTGTGTCTCAGAAGAAAAGCACGACCAGCTTTTGTGGCTACCTCCCCACCAGCGTCCACTTCTCTGTGCTTGTGTGATCTGACCTCTCACTGGGGACCTCCTGCTCCTTTCTGAATCTCTTCCATTTGATTTCCAGAATGCCACCTTCTCCTAATTTCGTCCTACATTTCTGAGTGCTCATTCTCATTTTCCTTTACTGGATCTTACACCTATAACCAAATAGCAAGCCATCGCCTACCCATGAGCTCTATTACACTTAGCCAGCTTATGGCTGTAGTCACCAAATGGGTCTTTTTCTAGTGCCCGTCCCTAGAAAGTTAACAATGTATAAGGATCCATACCCCGATGGAGGCACTGGGATCCTACAATGGGCCTAGTTGCCCACACTTGTCCACAGACTACCACTATGGATCCCCCCACACTTCATGTCTCTGTTGACTTTGGCCACACAAAAATCAGGCTTCCCAGCATCCATCAAGGTCTGAATTCCCATCCATGTCTTCTGTATTCTTATTCATCTCATCTAAATTCCCAACCAAGTCATCTGAATTCCCAACCATGTCATCTGGATTCCCATCCATGTCATCTGGATTCCCAACCAAGTCATCTGGATTCCCATCCATGTCATCTGGATTCCCATCCATGTCATCTGGATTCCTATCCATGTCATCTGGATTCCCATCCACGTCTTCTGGATTCCTATCCATGCAATCTGGATTCCCAACCATGTCATCTGAATTCCCATCCATGTCATCTGGATTCCTAACCATGTCATCTGGATTCCCATCCATGTCATCTGGATTCCCATCCATGTCATCTGAATTGCCATCCATGTTGTCATGGATTGAGTTATATCCCCCAAAAATGTGTGTATCAATTTGGCTGGGCCATGATTCCCAGTATTGTATGGTTGTCCTACATTTTGTGATTGTAATTTTCTGTTACAGAGGATGGGGGGGGATTGTAACACCCTTACTAAGGTCACATCCCTGATCCAATGGAAAGGGAGTTTACCTGGGGTGTGGCTTGTACCACGTTTTCTCTTACAAGAGATAAAAGGAAAAGGAAACAAGCAGAGAAATGTGGACCTCATACCACCAAGAACACAGTGCCAGGAGCAGAGCGCGGCCTTTAGACCCAGGGGCCCTGTGTGGAGAAGCTCCTAGTCCTGGGGAAGATAGATGAGAAGGCCGATGGAGAGAGAAATCCTTCCCCTGGAACTGATGCCCTGAATTTGGACTTTTAGCCTACTTTACCGTGAAGAAATAAATTTCTCTTTGTTAAAGACATCCACTTGTGGTATTTCTGTTACAGCAGCTCTAGATGCCTAAGACACATGTCATCTGGTATTATGGACTGAATTGTGTCCTTCCAACATAAATGTTGAAAAGCCTAGTCTCTATGCATGTGGTTATAATCTCATTTGAGAATAGGTTTTCTTTGTTATGTTAATGAGACAGTATTATTGTTGTTGTTGTTGTTGTTAGGTGCCGTCAAGTCAGTTCGGACTCATAGCCACCCTATGTACAACAGAACGAAACACTGCCCAGTCCTGCGCCATCCTCACAATCGTTGTTATGCTTGAGCCCATTGTTGTAGCCACTGTGTCAATCCACCTCCTTGAGGGCCTTCCTCTTTTTCGCTGACCTTCTACTTTACCAAGCACAATGTCCTTCTCCAGGGACTGGTCCCTCCTGATAACATGTCCACAGTATATGAAATGAAGTCTTGTGTCCTTGCTTCTAAGGAGCACTCTGGCTGTACTTCTTCTATGACAGATTTGTTTGTTCTTCTGGCAGACCATCCATGGTATATTCAGTACTCTTCACCAACACCATAATTCAAAGGCGTCATTTTTTCTTTGGTCTTCCTTATTCATTGTCCAGCTTTCGCATGCATATGAGGTGACTGAAAACACCTCAGCTTAGGTCAGACTCATCTTAGACCTTTAAGTGACATGTTTGCTTTTTAACACTTTAAAGAGGTCTTTTGCAGCAGATTTGCCCGATGCAATGCATCTTTTGATTTCTTGACCACTGCCTCCATGGGCATTGGTTGTGAATCCAAGTAAAATGAAATCCTTGGCAATTTCAATATTTTTCTCCATTTATCATGATGTTGCTTATTGGTCCAGTTATGAGGATTTTTGTTTTATGTTGAGGTACAATCCATACTGAAAGCTGTAGTCTTTGATCTTCATCAGTAAGTGCTTCAAGTCCTCTTCACTTTCAGCAAGCAAGGTTGTGTCGTCTGCATATTGCAGGTTGTTAATGAGTCTTCTTCCAGTCCTGATGCCGCATTCTTCATATAGTCCAGCTTCTTGGATTATTTACTAAGCATACAGATTGAGTAAGTATGGTGAAAGGATACAGCCCTAATGCACACCTCTCCTGACTTTAAACCACACGATATCCCCTTGTTCTGTTCAAATGACTGTCTCTTGGTCTATGTACAGATTCTTCATGAGCACAATTAAGTGTTCTGGAATTCTCATTCTTCACAATGTTATCCATGATTTGTTATGATCCACACAGTTGAATGCCTTTGCATAGTCAATAAAACACAGGAAAACATCTTTCTGGTATTCTCTGCTTTCAGCCAGGATTCATCAGCAATGATATCCCTCGTTCCTGGTCCTCTTCTGAATTCAGCCTGAGTTTCTGGCAGTTCTCTGTCGATGTACTGCTGTAACCACTTTTGAATGATCTTCAGCAAAACTTTACTTGTGTGTGATATTAATGATATTGTTCAATAATTTCCGCATTCTGTTGATCACTTTTCTTTGGAATGGGCATAAATATGGATCTCTTCCAGTTGGTTGGCCAGGCAGCTGTCCTCCAAATTTCTTGGCATAGATGAGTGAGCACCTCCATCACTGCATCCATTTGTCAAAACATCTCGATTGGTATTCCATCAATTCCTGGAGCCTTGTTTTTTGCCAATGTCTTCAGTGCAGCTTGGATTTCTTCCTTCGGTACCATCAGCTCTTGATCACATGCTACCTCCTGAAATGGTTGAACGTCTACCAGTTCTTTTTGGTATACTGACTCTGTATATACATTGTTTTTTCACTCAACCCTGCTATTTCCCACCTCCCCTAGTCCCACCCAGCCTCCCCTTTTGACTTTTCCCTATAGAAATACATATTTCAAATGTTTCTTTTTTAAACCAAAAGAAGAGTTTTAAATTTTTCTTTGTCTACATTCATGTGTGAAGGCATAATAAATCTCTGAACCTGATGGGTCCTTTACTCAAATAAGGTATTTAGGAGTATTCGTCTCATTATAATAACATTTTTCTGTCCACTCTGTTAGACTGTAAGTTCTATGAAGGGAAGGACTAAACCCATTTTGTCCATCCCTGTATACCTAGTGCCTAACACAGTGCCTGGCTCATAGTAGGTGCTCAACCAATAAAAGTTGAATAAATAGATTCCACCAATGGACCACTCCTTTTCTTAACCATCTCTCCCTGAAAAACTCAGTCAGCCCAGTCTTCAGAATCCTCCTGGTTGCCGTTCTTTTAGGTGAGCTCTCATTGACTCCTCTGTCACATGTCAGCCACCTCTGCACCTCTCTAGCATTCTCTCTCTCTCTTTCTCTCTCTCTCTGCACCGCACTCATTCCATGAGCACTCCTTGAGAACTCACACCACGCCAAGCCCTGCACTAGGCAGTGAGGAGGCGATGGTGAACATAAGACAGTCTGAGCCCTTTAAGGAGCTCAGAATTTATGGGACAGTCACAGAGACTGGTAAGTTCTTGAAGGGAATCTTGGACATTTTATTGCATTTTTATTTATATTAAAATTATTTTGGTACTTTTTAAATTTTACCCTTCTAGATATACCCATGAAAGTAGTAACTGTTTTGTACCTTTTTGGGAATGCTCAAAATAATTATTACAATCTCTTGCCACAGCAGATATTCATACGCTGAACTGGAACAAATCCCATTACTACTATCCTTCAAAGAGAAGTTTCATATACCAAGAACCCAATTCTTGAGTTTTAACATAAATCTTGGCCACAACAATGGATTAAAACATGTCAATGATCATAAAGATGGTACACAACCAGGCAACATCTTGTTGTGTTGTATCTAGGGTCACCATGAGCTGGAGCCAACTTGATGGCAACTAGTAACAATACATACCCAGTCACACCCTTTCACTTATTCCCAAGTGTCTACTTGGTGTCAGTAGCACACTGGCAAAGAATAAGAAACAATGCAGACCTTTAGAAGATGTAGAGACTATCAGAGAGTTATATTCACATCACAGTGTGACAGCAGTTTGAATTGGGGCTGCACAGGGCCGAGAGAGCCCAGGAGATGACCCACAATCAGCACAGGAGGTCAGAGAAAGGCCTGGGAAGACAAGAAGAAGCTTCTCCGGGGGAGAGAGGGTGATGGTACTCCCAGCTGAGACCACACGTACACAAAGTTGCACCATAGGTTGGTAAGCAATTCATGACGACGCAGGATTTGAGGAGGCAAGAGGTCAGGGTGTAGAACCCATCAGGGAGATAGGTCTGGAAGGACAAGTGGGCAGCCCGTTTTGAAAGGCCTTAAATCCCAGTCTAAGGAGTTTAGGATATTGTATCAGTGATGGGGCACTTTTGAAGGATTACACCAGAGACAACTATCATTAGATCTGAAATGTAGAACTATAACTGATATTTACATAGAGAATGGGCTAAGAGAGGCAGGAGGAAGACGCTTGTTATCCAACCACGGCAGTAGTCAGGTGAGGAAGTGTGCCTGACATGACACAATACATCTTTCTTCTGCTCAAATCCTGGCCTGGGGATCAAAGAGACAGGAAGGCTCCCAGCCATGCAATGAGTTCTTGAGGGTAATGACCACACCTTATGTGACGTTATGACTAGTGAGTAACAATAACTACCACAATAAACACACTCATTGCAGCAACTACGGGTAGGCCCTATTCTACATACTCACTCAGTCATCACAACACCCTATGAATTAAGTGCTGTTATTACTCCCATATTACAAATTAGGGAACTGAGGCTCGAGAAATTTAAGAACTAGCAATGGCTCATGTTTATTGAGCACTTATTCTGGGCCAGACACTACCAACTGAACCTCACTACATCCCCACGAAATGGGAGTGTGAGGGTTAAGGTTGTGTGTCGTCTTGGCTGGACCATGATTCTCAGTGGTTTGGCGGTTATGATACAGTTTGGCAGTTATGTAACGATGTAATCTCCTCCACGATGAGATCTGCTATATAGGGGGAGAGAGAGAGACGCGTCACTGGTTCTGCTTCTCTAGAGAACCCATCCGAAGACAGGGAGCTATGATAGTCCATGTTACACAAGTGAGAAAACTGAGACACAGGGAGGATAAGTAACTCACGCAAGGTTACAAAGCAAGTTAAAGGAAGGGACAGATTAAAGCCCAGGTAATCTGGGTCCAGGGCCTAGGCCCTTAGCCATCAAGCTAGACTCAAAGCGGATAACCATAAGTTATTCTTGAATTTAATGAAAGGTGCCGGTAGCCACAGCCAGTGAGCATCCCCGGCCTGAACTAACCTCCTCTCTGGTTGGGGGTTACCTGGCCCTGCTCTGTGTGATGCTGGCTTCAGGACTCAGGGGATTTTGGTTGTCTTTCCCCAGAAGTCCCACTGGAGGGACTGTGCACTGCAGCTCTTCCTTACTTCTCAGGATGATACCCCTTGGGACATCCCAGGCTCAAGTGGGAGGGTCAGATTACCTGGTACCCAGAGATGTGCCGCATCAGGCGGTCACACATGGCATTGCTGGTCAGGACCGAGTGCAAGACTTTCACGGCTGCGTACATGGTGTGGTCATCCGTCGCCAGGGACATAAGGCCCAGGAGGATGGCGGGTCCTCCAATGAAGTCCAGGCTGCTGGCTGCAGGGCTGGAGTGAAACACCCTCACTCCTGTTGGGGCAAAGGGATGTCACATCAGGAAGGCCCAGGCTCACTGCCACAGAAAATCCCCCAGCAGCATACAAGGGGGATGAGCGGCCAGTGCCACTGTCACCCACACATGAGACAGACTGGGTGTTAAAGGCAGGGCGGCTTTTGAAAGTCTTAGGTCACAGATAGATACTGTGCAGAGTCCTTCCTGGGTCATCGGGAGGCTGAAACAGTCCATAAGATTTCAGACAGGCTTCCAAAGACAGTGCAGGTGCATCGAGGCACCGCCACTGTCGACAAGCTTGACAGCACCCACAGAAAAGACCTGGAAGCCGTAGGCTCTGCCTGAAGTAGCAGGCAGCAGGCCTGGCTGTACAGTCACAGTCCCATCCCCACTGCAGGTGGGACCTAGGAGTGGACTTGCCACCCTCTGCCTTTTGTCTGGAATGCCCAATGAGCCAGACTCCCTCTGAGCCTCGGCTTCCTCGTTGCTCTGATGGTCTCTGGTTCTTGCCTGCTCTCTAGATCCCACTGGGCTGGGCCCTTTGCTCTCTCCAGATTGCATGGAGACCAGCAGCCTCTGGTTGCTGTTTTCCCTCTGCTCAAGGCCAGCTGCCTGCATGGACATGGGCCCCCACTGGACATAGACTTCAGCTGGGTCAGTAGCTGAGTTCACTGCCAATGTGTCCAATGTGGCGATGTGAACTAATTGTTATTAAATGAATTGTGTGCCCTCAAAAAGAAATATGGAAGTCCTAACCCCTGTACCTGTAAATATGGCCCTGTTTGGAAAGGGGCTTTCTTTTGTTATGTCAGTGCGGTCACATTAGAGTAGGGTGGGTCCTAAACCTAGTCACTGCTAAGTGGCATCCACACATGTGCAAAACAGATGCTATGTGAGGACCTGTCTGCAAGCAAAGGAGCAAGGATTGCCACCAGCCACCAGAAACTAGGAGAGAGCCGCACAGGGAATCATCATGGCAGAGACCCTGATTTGGACTTGCAGCCTCCAGAACTGTGCGAAAATAAATTTCTGTTTTTTAAAGTCACCCACTTGTGGTATTTTTTGTTACAGCAGCACTAGGTAATGTAGACACTGATCTCCATACCATGGGGCCACCTGTCTGCTGCACTAGCTCCCCAGCCCTGGCCCTCAGCCCTGACCCTGGCTCCCCCAAATGCTCGTCCTTGCCCACTGCTCCACAATTCCCAAGCTGCACAAGCGACGCCAACACAAGCCCCGCTCCCCGCACAGCAGTCCAGGTCCTCAGCCCGGCATACCTAACTGGCCCACAGCAGCCGCTCCAATGGTTCGAAGAGGGCCTGAGAGATGGCCAGCACAACTTCTTAGCAAGAACACGGGTGTGGCACTGTCGCGGGATGAAATGTTCATCTAGAGAAATCGGCAACAGTTAGTCCTAAGAAGCTTTCCCGGGCAGGAAAAGGCCTCGTGCACGAGCTACTGTTGGCACTCAGGAAGTGAATGGATAACAACAGAGCCCATGTCAGGAGGACGGAAGCCAACATTCGATTCACGTGCCCTGCATCCCAGGCTGTGGCTCAATCATAAGGGAGCAGCACGTGCTCACAGTAAGGCATTAATGAGAACAAGAATGGCCAGGGACACTTGAGGTGAGACAGTGCTACCAGATGAGGGCCGCCACCTTCACAGTCTGCTGTCACCCAGGCTCTGCAAGCTCTAGCTTTCTCTGGCTGCAGGGGGGAAGGAAGATGAGGATCCTGCCTCCTCCCCAGAAGACGCACTGTTGGTAAGGTGAGGCGCAGTATTGGTACTCAACAGGGTCTAGTCCCTGGTCCCCACCCTCAGTAAAGAGAGGTGGCACTTTGTCCAAGAGGGTGGATATAATGCAAACAAACTAGCCCAAATTCACCAGCACGCCACAGAGGAGCTCCTTATGTGAAAATTAAGAAATAGTGAATCTAATAGCATCCTTGTCTACAAACTCATCTGCTTACTGTTTTGCAAGTCTGCTGCTCTATTTAAAAAAAAAAAATCACAGCACCTCAAAGAATAGTTTTCAGTGCTGGTGAGTCAGGTGCACCCAGACAAAAGGAAGCTCAATAGTGTTCTCAGGCTATAAAAGGCTTATCAAATATTCCATTTGTTCTTACTCTGCCATGGAGAGCATGTGCTTTCTCCTCTGAGTGATTATAAGCAAAAAGTTTAGTCTAGGGAGATGCTACTGGTGGAAGACATATGGAGAGTTTAACAAATGAGCTGGGAAGCATGCCTGTGTGTATCTGCCTATATGTGCGCAAGCACCAATTCGTATTTGCTTAAGCACTGAAAGCTGAAGCGGGCTATGAGATCGAGCTTCCAAAAGGTAGCAGCACGTGCAGTTAGGAGGTGTACCTCTTTGGCTATCAGGCGGCTGTCCACCTCGTTGTAAGTGTGTCTTATATCTGCCACGCTGGTGATGGATGAGCTGGCTACGTGAAGTCCAAAGGAAACCCTCTCCTCCGCAACAAGGGCCACAGCTTCACCATCAGAGTCCTCTCCTGAAACAACACACCTTCCATCTTGACTCACTTGTATTCTTGTCTCACAGAGAAAGAGATCAGTCCTCAGAAGAGTCAATACTACTGCTACACATCAAATCAGTCATGGAGAGGGCAGGCTTGTACGCTGTATGCTTCGTCCCCACTGTACTTCTCTGACACGTACAGAAAAACTGGGGGAAATCTCACAACACTGACCTACTCTAAAATAGAGGTGTTCCAGGCGTGGGATTATCAGAGCATAAAGCATCGATCAGGATATAACTTCACTCCCAAAACCAAAAGGCTAAGTGACAAGAAAGTCAGCTTATTAAAAAGGAAGTAGGCTGGCCTCAAAGGCTGTCCCCCGGTTAACAAGGGGGTGTCTGCTACTAGAGAAGCACTGCATTAAACGTTTCTGTTGTTGTTGTTAGCAGTCATTGAGCTGGCCCTGATACACACAGCCCCTGTACACCACAGAAGGAAACACTGCCCATCCTGTGGCTAGGATCGGCTGCAGATCAGACCATTGTGATCCATGGGGTTTTCACTGCCTGATTTTTTGGAAGTAGATCACCAAGCCTTTGTTTTTAGTCCTTCTTAGTCTGGAAACTTGGCTGAAACCTGGTCAGCATCATAGCAACATGCAAGCCTCCAGTGACAGACGAGTGGTGGCTGTGTATTACAGGCACTGGTCAGGAATTGAACCCAGGTCTCCAACATGGAAGGCAAGAATTCTACCACTGAATCGCCACTGTCTCTGGCATGAAAACAGTCAGTGAAACTTGAGTCTAGACCTAAGCTTGTCACATTAACTCTCGCAGAACAGTGCTCTGGACAGTGTCATTTGCCACAGGAAATGAAGTTTAAGACAAACACTCAACAGTGCTCAGCTGCCCTTCACCATGCCCAAGGCTTCCGACATTGATTTATTCATCCTTCTCCTCCGATGGGAACTGACCCCCTTGACTTGACAGACACAAAGAGCAATGCTCCCTGCTTGAACAGCCAGCAATCAATAAAGAAAATGTGGATGTTTTGTCTGCCTGTTTAATAATTGAAGACCACAGTATACTTTAGTTAAAAAGCTTCTTCATTAAAAGAAATGTAACTTATTTATCTCATTCTCTTCTCTCTTTGCTGACGGTATTACCCACCCACCCTCTTCCATTAGGTGCTTTGGAGTTGGAACCTAAAGGATATTGTCATTTCCTTTTCTGTGACTTTTTGTGTTGGGTTGTAAATATATAATGATCCAATTACAGAAGTCTTCCCTAACGACTGACCTGCATTGAGTTTATTCATTATAAATATACTGTAAGAAACTGGATGTCCATTTAAAAAATAATATCAGCAAGAACACTGTAAATCAGAACACTCCATACCTTCGGCATGTACTGCTTGGAAGTTACCACAGTATCTTGGGCCAAGTTTGTTAATAACTTCCAAAGTTTCCACTGAGATGGCTTCTTCAAAGAGGTATGTAGGGCCAAGACGCCAAGTCAATGACGATTTTTGCTTCCAGACTCGAGGGGTAGCAATATATCCACACACATCCACAAAGGAAGACGGATCCATTGCAAGGAAAGGTCCCGGTAGGGACTGAATGTACAACATCTGTTAAATAAAAAGGATGAGTTGTGTTGGACCTCAGTATCAATCAAATAAATACAGACTGATAAAACATGAGATGTCTTATTCTCTCTAAGTAAAAACTGATTTTGTCTAAAAAATAAATAAGTGAATAAATAAATAAGCAAATAACTCTCAAAACTGGAAAGGATACAGCAAAAGAGCTTACAAAGTTCCGGCAGGAATAAAAAACTGATACTGTGACTTTAAAAATAAATTTGATAAGAAATATTAAGAGGCATGAAAACGTTCATGTTTTTTGCCCTAGTCATCCCACTGAGAATCTAAATGCCCAATAGTGGCACATTAATAAAATCTGCTGTATTAAAAATAATCACAGACATACAGGTTGCAAAGGAAGAAATAAAACTGCTTCTGTCTGCAGAGGACACAATGTTCTACATAGAAATTCACAAAGAATCTACAAAAAATAAAAATCCTCCTGGAACTGATAAGTGAGTTCAACAAGGTCATGAGTTCAACAAGGTCACAGCATACAAGAAAAGCATACAAAAATCAATTGCATTTCTATATACTAACAGTGGATACAAGAAACTAGAATTAAAAATAATACCATTCACAATAGATGCAAAAAAAATAACATACTTAATAAACACGTAGAGGATCTATATACTGAAATTATAAAATACTGATGAACGAAGTCAAAGAAGACCTAAATAAATGGACAGACATACTGTATTCATGGATTGGAAGACAATACTGTTAAGATGACAGCAGTCCCCAAACTGAGCTATAAATTTAGTGCAATTCTATTAAAATCTCAGCAAGCTGTTTTTGTATACAGAGACAAACTACTTCTAAAATTTATCTGGAAACACACAACCAACCCTATAGGACAGAGTAGAACTGCCACATAGAGTTTCCACAGAGTGGCTGGTGAATTTGAACTGTCAATCTTTGGGTTAGTGCTGAGCTCTTAACCACTGTACCACCAGAGCTCCAGAATAGCTAAAATAATTTAGAAAAAGAAGAATGAAGTGCAAGGATACACGGTATTAAAGCTTACTATATAGTTACAGTAACTGAGATAGTGTGGTATTGGTAGAGAGCTAGAAACATAGATCAATGGAACTGAAAAAAAGAACCCAGAAATAGACCCACATAAATATGCTCAAGTGATTTTTGACAAAGGTGCAAAAGTAATTCAATGGAGGAAGGACAGCTTTTTCAACAAATGGTATGGGAGCAACTGGTCATCCACAGGCAAACAAATTAACTTCAACCTAAACCTTATACCTTATACAAAAACTGGCTCATAATTGATCACAAATGTAAAACTAGAAAACTTCTAGTTAAAAGCAGGGGGAAATCTTCAGGATCTAGGGCTGTGCAAATCATGATCAAAAAACGAAGAGCTGATGAACTAGACATCACCAAAACGAAAATGTTTGCTCTGGGAAAGCATATGTAAAGAGGATGGAAAAAAGAGCTACAGACTAGAAGACATTATTTGAAACCATATACTCAACAAAGGACTAATATCTAGAATATATACAGAGCTCTTAAAACTCAACAGTTTAAAAAAAATTCAATTAGAAAATGGGCAAAAGACACGAAGAAGCATTTCACCAAAGAGGATATACAAATGGCAAATAAGCATAGGAAAATACGTTCAACATCATCAGCTGTTAGGAAAATGCAAATTAAAACCACAATATATCACTACACACCTATTAGAATAGTTAATATAAAAAATAATGAGTACACCAAACGCAGAGAAACTGGCTCACTCATTCATTGCTGGTGAGAATTTAATATGGTACAGCCATTCTGGAAAACAGTTTGGCAGCTTCTTGTAAAACTAAAAATGCAATTACCACACAACCCAGTATTTGTATTCTTGGACATTTATACCAGAGAATGAAAACTTAAGTTCACACAAAAACCTGTACACAAATATTCATAGAAGCTTTATTTATAATAGTCCAAAACTGGAAACAGCCTAGATGCCCTTCAATGAGTGAATGGTTAAACAAACTGTGGTACATCCATACCATGGAATGCTGTTGCTGTGTGTCATTGAGTCTATTCTGACTCACAGTGACCCTACAGGACAGAGTAGAATTGCCTCATAGGATTTCCTAGGCTGTAATCTTTACAGGAGCAGACCACCAGGTCTTTTTTCCCACAGAGTGGCTGGTGGGTTCAAACCACTGGCCTTTTGGTTAGCAGCCTAATGCTTACCCATTGTTCCACCAGGGCTCTCTTCACCATGGAATACTTCTCAGCAATAAAAAAGAATAAACTATTGATACAAGCAACAACTTGGATGAATCTCCAGAGAATAAACTGAGAGGAAAAAAGCCAGTTCTAAAAGACTACATACTGTACAACTCCATTTATATAACATTCTGGAAATGACATTTTAGATTAGTAGTTGCCAGAATTAGGGACAGGGACAGAGAAGAGGAGATGTGGATGCGGGGGGTAACATGAGGGATCTATATGGTGATTTGAACTGTTCTTGACTGTGGTGGTGGATACACAAACCTACACGTGATAAAATTCTATAAAAAGTTCACACACACACACACACACACACACACACACACACAACCCCTATTGAATAAGATCAGCAGATTTTATCAATGTTAATTTCCTGGTTGCGATATTGTACTATAGTTTTACAAGATGTTACCACTGGCGGACACTGGGTGAAAGGTACACAGAGTCTCTCTGTATTATTTCCTACAACTGCATGTGAATCTACAATTATCTCAATACAAATTAAAATGTTAATAAAAGAGAAGAAAAAATGGTTAACAGATTTTTACAAATTTAAAATAATAATAATAATTGCAAAGCCCTTGCGGATAAAAAATTTTTAAATGATAGTATATTAAGTGAACAAATGACAACTGAGTTGTCAAGGATTTCATTCTAGTTGGATGAACAATCAATGTCCATGGGAGCAGCAGTTAAGAAATCAAAGAACGTACAGCATTGGGAAAATCTGCTGAAAATACCTCTTTTAAAAAGCAAAGATCTCACTTCGATGACTAAGGAGCACCTAACACAAAGCATGGTCTTCTCAATCACTTTAAAATGCATATGAAAGCTGGACAATGAAAAAGGAAGACAGAAGAACTAACGCATTTAAATTATGTTGGCAAAGAGTATAGAATATACTGTGGGCTGCAGAAGAGGCAAGGATGGCAAGACTTGGGCTCGCTTGCTCTGAACACGTCATCAGGAAAGATAAATCACTAGATAAGGACATTATGTTCGGTAAAGTAGGGGTCAAGGAAAATGAAGGGAGCCCTCCATGAAGTGGACTGACAAAACAGACACAGCAATAGACTCAAACATAGCAAAGATGGTGAGAATGGTTCAGGACCAGGCAACGTGCCATTTAATTATACGTAAGGTAGCCATGAGCTGGAGCCAACTTGACAACAACTAACAGCAAATCAACAAAGTAGGACACAAATTTTATTCTCAGTGAGGCCACAACTATTTAAAAAAAAAAAAATGAGAAAAAAACTGAAAAAACTACAAATTATGGTCAGGTGCAAGGAATGTGGGCAATCTTTATTTCTCTTTTCTCCAGTTATTTCATAATGTAGTTATACTATTTTTATAATGACTCTAAAACCAATATACACATGAATATGTATATAAATGCATATTTTCAGAAGAGAGCTCAGGTAATTTCAAAAATATTTTTTGCTCTGCCATTTAAATAAGGTTTTCAAATAAAAACAAACCAATGTTTCAGCCACCAAGCCCTGCCTAGAATGAGGTTGGCTGTGCTGTGCCCTCTCCCATTCCCCACACAGACTCCTCTCTCTGCCACCCCTCTAGCCCACCTTGCTCCCTTCTTTCCAAATTCCTGCAGCATATACTCACTGCACCATTCAGGCTGACTCAGAAACATATAAAGTCTCAAATTGTTCTCAAATAATTTTGCTCTACTCAGACTGCTAAAATACTCCCCACCTTTCCAAGCTTAACTTACCTTCCCCTGGAAATATAAACAAAGGCTCTAATATTTTGAGAACAGCTGTTAAGCTGGGTCATCCCCAACCTAAGCTGAATCTCTCCCATCTTACACTTGCCAACAGACTTGCGCATCTAAGCACAGGCCTTTATGTTTAGCTGGTCCTCACCCGAATTGTTGAGATCATCTTGGAAAAGTCAGCTCTGTCAGACTTGGGTCTTGGTCATTTTCCATGGCATATCTTTATCCAAAGCTCTGTATCATACCCCTCCCTACCTCCTTGCTGCCTGACACGGGCTTAGCTGACCCCTGGGATTGGGTGTTCATCCATATACCAATTCACCCAGCCATGGACTTCCAGCCAGTCCATGGGACTTCTTGTGGTTATAAATTACACTCAGTAAATCAAGTGTTCACTGCATGCTCACTGTGTGCCAGCTCTGTGCCAGGTGCATACTGTGTGCTGGGTGAAAAAAGGGCCAGAACACATCACTTACCCTCAAAAGAAATGAACATAAACAATTTCACAGAATATTTGCATACTCTGTGAAACAAGACAGAATGCTAACATATTCTGTAAAAGAAGACCAACACAAACTCACTCTGTAGTTATGCCTGAACAGAGCAAAGACAAAGACATGTGTAACCTCAAAAGTGACCAAACATCCCTTTCACAGCCAACACAAGTGATCACTGCTTCTTCTCCAACGACAACCTGAGCCCTGCTCAATTCCTCTGGCCTCCTGGATAAAAGTTTCTAACAGTCACCAAAGTGCTCCCCTTTCTGACAGCATCCAATTCGAAAAAGACCTCCAATTCTTGAAACTCTCCCAAAAATCACCTAAAGTAAGCTCATATCCTATAATAAGCACCTCTTAACTTATTACTGCTCTTGCTATAGCCAAGGACTCCTCCTGCATGGGGTTCCTGAGTGGTGCAAACAGTTACCACACTTGGCTGCTAACCAAAGGGTTGGAAGTTCAAGTGTACCCAGGAGTGTCCCACACATTGGGTTGCCATGAGTCAGGGCTGACTCCATGGCAGCTTTTTTTTTTTTCTTTTCTTTTTTTTTAAATAACTATCCGTACAGGACTAAGGTGTGCCTGACCTAAGCCATGGTATTTTCAATCGCGTCATATGCGAACAAAAGGTGGACAATAAAGAAGACCGAAGAAGAACTGATGCCTTTGAATTATGGTGTTGGTGAAGAATACTGAATATATCATGGACTGCCAAAAGAATGAACAAATCTGTCTTGGAAAAAGTACAGCCAGAATGCTCCTTAGAAGCAAGGATGGAAGACTTCATCTCACATACTCTGGACATGTTATCAGGACAAACCAGTCCCTGGAGAAGGACATCATGCTTGGTAAAGTAGAAGGTCAGTGAAAAAGAGGAAGACCCTCAACAAGATTGACTGATAACAGTGGCTGCAACAATGCACTCAAGCATAACAAAGACCGTGAGGATGGTGCAGGACCGGGTAGTGTTTCATTCTGTTGTACACAGAGTTGGAACCAACTCAACGGTACCTAACGACAATAACAACAGGTCTTGCCCATTTTTTGCCTTCCGTCCTGGTTGTGTGACCTTCACCCATTTTCACCCAGTGAGGTGGGGTTGCCTTAGCCACCAACCACTCTGGGGTAGTACAACGGGAGGCTCAGCTGAGTGCGGATGCTCAGCTCAGGGAACCTTCTCACCTTGGCTGAGCCAATGACCTGTCCATCCAGATAGGTGGAAACAGTGCAATTCCTTTTCATCTCCTTGGTGACCACTACAGCCAGGTGATGCCACTGACCACAAGCCAGCAACTGCCCACACCTGACCTGGAGCTGGCGTCCCGCAGAAGGCTCAGCAACATCCTCAGGCTCCATGGAATCTGGAAGAAAGTACAAACGCCAGACTTCACATGCAGTAGGTGCTGCAGCAGCCCAGAGTGCTGGAGGAAGAGTGTCCTAGGTCCACCAGCGTGGCCTTTCACCTCTGTAGCCACGGCCTAGGCCTCCTCTCTGAAGCAACGATGATCACAACAGCGATCTTTCACTGAGCTCTTACTTTATGCCACCAAACCAGTTGCTGAGTTGATTTCAGCTCACGGCGACCTCATGTGTGTCAGAGCAGAAATGTGCCCCGTAAGGTCTTCAGTGGCTGATCTTTCAGAAGTAGATCACCAGGACTTTCTTCCTAGCCCATCTTAGTCTGGAAGCTCCACTGAAACCTGTTCAGCATCATAGCAACACGCAAGCCTCCAATGACAGATGGGTGGTGGCTGTACATGAGGTTCACTGGCTGGGAACTGAACCTGGGTCTCACACATGGAAGGTGAGAACTCTACCACTGCCACAGGTCTGGCTAAGTTGTATGTTTTTTTTCACAACCCTTGCTCTGGAGACGACAGAGCCTGCATCCCAGCAGGATGAAGCCCCAAGTCCCATGCATGACGCACTGCCAGGGCAGCGCTGAGTTTCTTGAAAACCAAGCCTCTGAAGCCATGCTGAGGCCAGGACTTGTCCGCCTACAGTGATAACCCAGCACTGGACTACAAGAGGCACTCAACAAGTTTTCGTTTTGACGTTTCACCAGGTGTAGAACTCAGGGGAGCAATTTTAAAAGACTGGGAGGACTCTCCCATTCTAGCCGCATGTGCCGAGAGCATCTAACTGAGCCCGTTCCCGTGAGTGTGGGTGATCCCCAAACCTTACCCAGAGGCTGAAACTCCTTCTCTTCCGTGGACACCACCAAGGAGAGGTCGTCAGGGCAGAGGCTGACAGAGAGGCAGACGAAGGGCTGCTCGGTCCTGGCAAGGTGGCGCACCAGCGTGAGGAAGCGGAGCGGGTGGCCGCCAGGGATAGCACTATGGCGGCAGATCAGGAACCAGCAGGAGAAGGTCAGGCCCCCGGGGGGAGGGAAGGGTCTGGCAGCGCCTGGGGTCAGAACACAAACACGCTTTTAGGCTCTGTCCTGCACAGGAGCTGGTTCACCCTCACTGTAGCTCCGATTCGGCTGCCACCATGGGCCTACTATGTGCTGGCCCCAGGCCTCCCCTGATGCCAGTATGTTATGCTGTTCTCACAGAAGGGGGCGCCAGCTTTGAGATTCATATTAGCAGAAGGAGGCTCACAGAAAACAAGCAGTATTCCTGCCTGAACTTCACCCTGAGGCCTCAATGCCTGATTCCAAGTCTGTCTTACCTACTACCTCAATCTGCCTTGACAAGGGACCAGAGAGAGGACCACAAACCCTGGGCCCCATCAACTTTTTGCCTCCCTGGCCAGCTGATCTAAAGCCGGGCCACATGCAACACAAGAGCAGAGGGTACTGACCCAGCGCAGCTGTCCCCTAACAGGGCTGACAGTGCAGATGGAAGGGGCAGAACCAGCGGCTTTGTCTGCATGTGCTGATGGGCCACGAGGACAATGGCTTCTCAGCACCGTCCCTCCTGTCCTTGTAGCAGAGTGTGCCTGACTCAGGCAGCCGTGGGTGCCTATGCTGCTCTTGGCCAGTGGCTTCTCAGCTGAGCACAATGCTGTGCAAAGCATGCCATGGCCACAGGCAGCCCCCTGGGAGCCACTTGCCAAGGTCAGGCCTGCTCCTGGGTGGCAATCAGCACAGAATTCATATTGCTCTTGAAGGAGGGGGAGGAAGGCAGGGTAGACACATCCACTTCAGCCCATGTCAACCACCAACGAAATGCATCACAGCCCCGGCTCAGCAACCCAATCACCATGCAGCGTGTAAACGTTGCAGAGCAGTGTGCTGGGACGTATGGACACACAATGGACAGGCCACCCTTGCCATAGAAGGGGCATGAACAAGCTTACTACCTGGAGGACAGCTCATTTACAGATGCTCAGGACCAAGGAGAAGGCTTATGCTTCCATGAGACGCCAAGGGGAAATCTGACTCAAGACTACCCAGGACTTACTCCTGGGGGGTGGGAAGGGCTCAGGTGGCCACAGCATCTGGGAAGCACCTACCTGTCCCAATCCCTCCGGAGACCAAGTACTCGGTGCTAGTGCCCATAACCGTCGACAGGGTCGGAATGAACAGGCAGCTGGAAAAGGGGAAGTGTCTTCAGATCAGTGCACCGTGTACAAACCTCTCGCATGGACAGTTAGTCTGGGCCGTGACGCTCTCCTGCCCTGTGCTTCCCAGAGACCTCTGCTCCCCTTGGACTGTGGGGCCCAGGCATGTGACAACCACATGCTGGCAGGATGAGCCCTAAGGGAGGGAATCCTCGTTGGAGGTGGGAGGGGAGGGAATTTGGAATATGGGCACACTAATAGCCAGGACAGGGTCCTGAGACTACATGGCTGGGAACACTGCTCTAGAAAGTCAGGGAAGGTGTCCAAACCCAGTCATCTTCTTTGGCCGAGTGCCAAGAGCTGATGGGAATGACAAGCTTGTAAATGACAGTATAATTCACTTGAGGCACTATGACATTATGAAAGCACACCTCACACATACAAGTATACAAAGCCGGCTTTACCCATAGCCTTCCATGGACATGTCAAATTCCACAAACGATGGAGCCAGGGCTGCCCTCTGAGGCTGCAGGTTTCGAGGGGAGGTCATGGAGATGAGGCTCAGCACTGTCTGCAGAGCGGCCGCCGAGGGCTTGAGGGCCTGTGAGACCGCAGGGCCAGCGTTCGCGGGGCCCCCCGCAGCACCTGGCACAGCTGCCTCAGACCCTACGGCAGCAAAGGGAAGAGATGGGGGCTTGCCCAACGCATTCGTGCCCCTTTCCTGAGACTACAAACATACAAACCCAAACCTACTGCCGTCAAGTCGACTCCGACTTATGGCGACCTCGTGTGTTACAGAACTGCTCCATGGGGTTTTCTTGGCTGTGATCTTTACAGAAGCAGTTCACCAGGCCATTCTTCCAAGGCTCTGCTGGGTGGGTTTGAACTGCCAACCTTTAGGTTAGTAGTCAAGCGCCAACTGTTGGTGCCACCAAGTCCCTGCATTTCTGCCCCAGTCCTGAAGGGGGCTCTGCAAAGCCACCGGGCCTTCCTAACGACCTTGAGGGTCACTCCCTGGCCCTCCACCTGTGCCTCTGCTGACTGTGATAACAGTGAGCCACGGTGACAACCTGCTTCTCTGCTTCTCCCTTTAATTCCAGACGCCCTGGCCCGCATGCCAGCACATCGCAGTCACCCCAGACCTTCCCCCTCACAGCAGGCTGCCTACATGCAGGCTCTCCCACTCACTTCCCGGCTGCCTCCCCAAGCCCAAGTCTCCACCCTTGCCTTTCCACCAGGCCTTCTTGCCTTACAGTCAGCCTATCCATGACTTCTTTTCTTCAGACTGGCTCCCTGCACCATCACCCGCCCAGGGGCTGGCTGGCCACCTGCACTTGCGCCTAGCTGTGATTGGCTCCGAAAGCTGTCGCCATGACCTCTGGGCAGGCTCGGTGCCGCTGGCTCAGAAGGAAGCACTCTATGTCTCCGCTCCATCCCTGCCTTATAAAGGCACCAGTCACCCCGCTTTTCCCATCAGCTCCACTGAGTACTGTGCAAACCTTCTGCAATCTGTCTGCTGAGAAATCCCCATTAACAAGCACCTCTCCTTTCCTCTGTCCCCACCTGAGCATCCACGGTCACCTCCATGCACACCAGACGGACTGAGAATTTTCGTAGCAGCTGATGCAGGTGGGGGGATTCCAAGGCCTAAAAACTGTCTGATATCATAACATAAAAGAGAAGCAAATGAAGATATTTTATATGCAAAATTCTCTCCAACTGCCTCCAGACCACTCACCTAGACACCCAGTGCTGGATGGTCAGCATCCCAGCCCCTCCATGCCTCTGCTCCCTCTGCCTGGAAGACCTTTTCTTGGTCCTCATCCTGGCACCAAGACCAGAGAGCTGGTGAGTTTAGGGGCTTTGCTCTAACCAGGGGCCAGCGAGGAGCCTCAAAGTGGGCCGTATGAGGAAAAGGAATTTGCTGGAAAATAATCTATCACCATTGTTCATAAGTCTCTAATGGAATTAAATAAACAGCTCAATTAAGCACGGTGGCTTTGTCTGTCAGCCTGCACTCCCTGGGGCTGGAGAAGACTGGCACGGCCCTGGGGGCTCCCACGCTGGCCCACCCCGAGGCCCCATGTCTGCTGGAGGTGGGGCGGGGGGTGTTGTCAGTCCCCTCCCTACTACTTCTGTGTGTAAGCGGGCCCCATACACCCTAGAACACCCAGGACGGGGGGCCAGACTCCCACCTCCCCCTGCAGCCCGTTTCCTCTGCCTGTTTGTCGACTATGTCTGCTCCCCCCGTGCAGGGTGCCTCTCCTCCCAGAAACATGTGGCTTCATGGAGGGGCTGCCCACGAGAAGGCCTCACCAAGAGGTAGCCAAGCACTGTCTTTGTCCCTTCTTCTAGCCCAGAGTCCCTGCCACTGCTTCTGCAGTGCCTCCTGCCCCCGCCCACTACCCCTCAGGTCCACTTCCCTGCAGCCATGATCAGTCCCTCAAAGCCCCAACCCTGCCCACCAGCGCCTTTGTGTTCTGTCCCCATCCTCCCTGTGTCTGCAGGCCTCAGAACTCAATTTTTGCTTCTCTTCCTTGAAGCCCCTCAATCTTCTGACTGCAGCTCTGAGTATCTCCCAGAGCATCACGCTGCAGTTTTCCATATGACCCTCTGATTAATGTCCGTCTCTCCCCCAAGATGCTCAGCTCCAGCAGAGGCGGGTTATGTCTACTTTAGGGGCACTGTCATCCCACCACTGCACACTGCCAGGCACAGAGTCCCACCGTACTCATCTGTGGGCATCTACTGATGACTGCTGGAACAGGGCGGGGAGGCCATCAGGCTCCCATTAACTCTTCACTGCCCAGCATGCATCTGCAGCAATAAACACGGCGGGCAACTGGGACTCAGCAGCAGCGTCCAGCGCACAGCTCACAGTACCTTAGCACGTCAGGTGTGATGGCTTGGGAGGCAAGCTTCTCAAAAATCCTGATGAGGCTCAGGTGCAGGGGGTGGCTGCTGGTGACCAGGGCCTTGTGGCAGGTGGTCATGAGGGTGCTGAGCATGCCTGCCTCGCACATGATCTGGCGGTTCTTCTCTGACTTCACCAGGGCCTGCAGGTGGCTGGCCAAGGAGTGCTGGATCTCCATGGAAAGCTGAAAGGTACCGGAAGCAAGTATGAACCCTGGATGTCAGAATATGTGTGAGCAAGACTAGTGGGCCCCCAGTGATGGCTTGAAGTGTCACGGGGCATCATAACCCATCGTCACCACGCTCCGTTCTCTCAAGGACTCCGTATCCCCGCGGGCCAGTTACTGAAGGACGTGGGCGCTCGGTTCAGCTGCTCAAGAGGCAGACAGTTTAAAACGGAGGGGGCACTGGCAGGGGAGTATGACTCAGCCCTGATACATGTGCTTTCTCTGACCCACTCAATGTTTAAACACTTTCTGAATTGATCCAGTTTAAAAATCTGAAACTTTCACATAAAAATCCAGATACATGGCTCCTCTCAAAACCCGGAAAAGTCTGGTCTCTGTGTTGAGAAGCAGTCGGCACTGCGCATTGGCTGGGCCCCCATACCTGGTCAGAAGGCATCACTCATTCATAGTTCCTGCTTTCTCCCCACACGTATCGGGGTCTGCAACCCGTGGCTGAAAGGGTGGGATTCATGTGGCAGTACACGCAGAGTACATCCCACTGCCAGATGGACACCTCACCATCTTCACATAGCAGGCGCAGCTCAGACGGTAAAGACCAGCTAAGTACAGGCCCCACAAGGAGCCTTTGCTCATGTCTCCCGTGACCCTCCAACACTCCTCTCCCTCTCGTCACCCCTCGTCCCCTCTCGTCGCCCCTCGTCCCCTCTCGTCGCCCCTCGTCCCCTCTCGTCGTCCCTCGTACGTCTGCAGCACATTCCGCCACACAGGCAGTTGTCTTCCTCTTACCCCTCCCAGATCCCAGGCTACTGCCCTCCCTTTATGTTCCTCGAAGCAGAGAGGGTACACGGAATTGGCTCAGTAAGTATTTGAGCCAAATACAGTACATTGATCTTACAGTCTTCCTTTCTTGAAAAGGTTCCTGGGTGGCACAAATGGTTTGTGCTCAACCACTAACTTAAAGGTTGGTGGTGTGAACCCACCCAGCAGCTCTGGGGGAGAAAAGCCTGGTAGTCTTCTTCTGTAATGACTACATCCAAGAAAACCCTACGGAGCAATCCTAGCCTGTAACGCACGGTGTCGCCATGAATCAGAATCCACTCAATGGCAACAGGTTTGGTTTGGTTTTTGGTTCTTTGTAAAGAGATAAAACCCTGGAATCCCCACTGCTCCCTGGATATAGAAACGGTTTGGGTAGAGTGTGGGCAGGGAGTGTTTCCTTTACAAAAGCTCTTAGGGACTGTCCATATTCTCTTTTACTGTTGTATAAGATGTTGTCTGAAATGAGCGTGATACCAGTAGATCGTAATGGAATGTTCCTTGCTATAGCTGACACTGTTGGTGCCCACCTAGACCTCCTGCTCCAGGAGGGCTGTCATCAGCTAAGAGGGAGCTGCCTTGCCTAGGAGGTTATATAACACACACACACACACACACACACACACACACACACACACACACACACGCACAACAGACCACAGCCAACCAAGTTGGCCTCCCTGAGACTCTGGTACAATTCCTTCTCCAGAGCTCCCCTGTGGGATCAGACTGAAGCTAGATGTCAGCTGACACCACATCAGCTCCTCCCTTGCACCATCCTGCTTCCCTAACTGCCCTTCTCCTGAGGCTCACCCTTGACTAGTCTCATGCACCTGAGTCCCTGTCTCCACACCACTTCCAACTTGAAACACTAGCATCCTTTTCATATTTTATGCCTTTGTGCCTAGTTCGTGGTTTCAAGAAAAAAAGATCTATGATTATGCAGATGACCTCTAGGTTAGTCCGCCAACATAAAGCCAGGAATCACCATAAAAGCATTTATGTCAATAATCTACATCTAATGAGGACTGGGAGCTCTAGTGACGCAGTGGTTAAGAGCTCGGCCGCTAACCAAAAGGTTGGCAGTTCGAATCCACCAGCCGCTCCTTGTAAACACTATGGGAAAGTTCTACTCTGTCTTACAGGGTTGTTCTGGGTCAGAATCGACTCAACAGCATCAGGTTTTTTGTTTGTTTGTTTTTAATGAGGACTGGGGGCCAGCGGTGGTTCAGTGATAGAATTCTCACCTTCCATGCAAGAAACCCAGTTTGATTCGCAGCCAATGCAACTCATGTGCAGCCACCACCTACTAGTGGAGGCTTGCATGTTGCTATGATACTGAACCAGTTTTCGTGGTGCTTCCAGATTAAGACAGACTAGGAAGAAAGGCCTGGTGATCTACCTCTGAAAATCAGGCAATGAAAACCCTACAGATCACAATGGTCCAATCTGCAACCCATCACGGGGATGGCGCAAACCTGGGCAGCATTTTGCTCTGTTGAGTATGGAGTCATCATGAGCTGCAGCCGAATGGGTGGCAGCCAACAACAACGAGCAATGATCTAGTCTCACTCTCTCATTCCAGAACCTTGACAACTCACAGACCATCTGCTACTGACACCTTCTGTGAAAGCTTTCTTGGAGTCCTTCTCTGCTTCCCTTTCTTCCCCTTCCTCCTCAAACAAGCATTAAATGCCTCTTCCATGTCAGGTTCTGGGTAAAGTTCTAGAAATCCAAAGATGAACAAGACACTGTCCCCGCTGTCAAGCAAATCACAGAGTAAAGCTGAGGCAGGTGAGCGGACAGTCTCCGCACAGTGTGAGACGTGCTGTGACTGAGAACTTGACAGTGTTCTGGATGGAGGTTAAAGTGTGGTGTTGGTGAAAAATACTGAATATACCGTGGACTGCCAGGAGAACAAACAAATCTGTCCTGGAAGAAGTACAGCCAGAATGCTCCTTAGAAGGGATGAAGGCGAGACTTCTTCTCATGTACTTTGGACATGTTATCAGTAGGGACCAGCCCCTGGAGAAGGACATCATGCTTGGTAAAGTAGACGGTCAGTGAAAAAGAGGAAGACCCTCAACAAGATGGACTGACACAGTGGCTGCAACAATGGGCTCAAGCATAACAAGGATTGTGAGGGTGGTGCAGGACTAAGCAGTGTTTCATTCTGTTGTACACAGGGTCGCTATGAGTCGGAACGGACTCAACGGGATCTAACAACAACAGGATGGTGAGGTGGCGAGGGTTTCCCAAATCCCCTCCCACATTTCCCAGACCCCACTATTTCCATATGTGCAGTCAGCTGGGGAGAAACCTTGTCCAGAGATGGGCAAGAGTATATTTGTGTCACTGAGGGACAGAAAACAGGTAAGATACAATTCTTCAACAAGCTGCTAACAGAGTTTTGTAGCATATATGCTTCAAGGATCAAAATGTATGGGAAAAAATATTTACATTGCTTATCACCGGTTTCTAGATTTTTTTAAAAAAAGATGAAGAGTTAACACAGTTCACACTTGTACTTCCTCCCACCTGCCTTCCAAATACGCGACAACTATAGCTTCTGCCTCATACTGATAGCATCACATTGGAATTCCTATCTTTAAAATGTCTTTCAGTAACATTTCTGATTTAAAGATTGGGGGGGGGTGCAAGAAATCCCACGGTGGTGTGAACAAATACGCGCTCAGCCGCTAACAGAAAGGTTAGTGGCTCGAATCCACCATGAAGCTCCTCAGAAGAAAGGTCTCATGATCTACTTCCAAAAGATCACAGCCATTGGGGAAAAAAACTGCGGTCTGTGTGCTATATTAGAATGGTTTTTCAGGGGTATATCATATCAGGCAGGATTTCTTCATTCCAAAATGTCACCATTTTCCAGTGTCTCTATTAGCCTGAGCACATGACATCTCTGATGACAAGGGAGGTCTCTCAGCCCTCAGAGGGAGATAACCATCTTCCTATAAATGTTGTATTTACGCAGCCAGCGTAAGTTGGTAGATGGACAATGTACCCCAAAAGGGACTAGAAACCAAAGGTAGAAATGCCTAAATTAATTTGCACTTAACAATTATGTCACTTTTACTTTGAGAAGCTCTCCCATGAGTCTACCCTAACTCTTGACTTCCTCTCCCCAGGTCTTCCTTATGAAGTTTTTAGTGCCCTTACCTGTATCCTCCAGGGCCTTCTTTCTTCCCTACTCTTCTCAAAGCAGAAAAGCAATGTCCACCCTCTTGCCTTGAAATTTCCCTCTCCCAGAATTTATTTTATTTGGTAACTGCACTCTTTTAATTTAGAATGAAAGTTGGGGAGACAGTGCGTATGAAGCTAGATGCAAAAATGATGTCACAATGTATTAGGTATTAAGAAGAACTAAGAAGAAATTCCTATAACCTCCAGTTTTTATTGCCAGCACTTCACTTACTGCTTTTGAGACTTTTTGGTTTGTTTTGTTTTGTTTTCACTAAAGTGGGAATACTTAAAATGTAAGTTAAAAAAAAGAAAGAAAAAATTTTCAAAGGGGAGAAGTGCTGATCTTGTCTAACGATGCTGCAAGTTTACTCCAAAATCTGCTCAATACCCCATAATGGAGGAGGAAAAATTGATCGCCCTCATTATCACTGCAGCTCTGTCAATACCAATATTGCCTTGTTTTGAATAAAATGTGCTGTTTTTTTCAATGTTGGTTCCAGTAAAATGGAGTTTTAGTGAAAATACGAGCAGTAGCAGGAAGCCAGTCTGGTTTCTCTCCCTACAAATGGATTGATTTTCCTAACACATATTACTCCCAGCACAGGCAAGGGGATGGTGGTTCAATTAGGACTCCACGGTGAACGCACAGGGTCACCAGGTGGTCAGCAGACCAGACCTGCCATGCACATGATCACAGACGGATAATGGGGCAGCCTGGAGGATTTCTGCCTCCTCCACTAGCGTCAAGCCAAGAGTCTGACCTTGTCCCACTGTGGATGTTTCTTCTTTCTTTCTGTCTCTCCTACTTTATTTTCTGGCCTGTGTTATTAATGGGAGGTACAAATAATTAACATGCTCAGGTGCTAATTGAAAGGCTGGAGGTTTGAGTTCATCCAGAGGCACCTTGGAAGAAAGGCCTGGTGACCTACTTTAAAAAAATCAGCCATTGAAAACCTTCTGGAGCACAGTTCTACTCTGACACT